GCCCTAACGTATCGTAATTACTGCAGTTTACGTGGCGACCATATGCCAGAGCACTCGCGCCTAATTCCATCCCGAAATCTAATGTACGCCATGAGAAGACCTGATCATCTTCAGATTGTGCCAGTGGAGGACTTAAGTCTTCGCAAATTCACTCAACTTTATGGGTCAGATATCTCAATTGCAGCCCCATTTAACCCCTATTCATATGTACAATGAAAAACATTCTGCTTTTGATGCCGATAACCTGGTTATTTCGTAGAATCAGATTTAACCGGCGCAAATTGTCCGCCGTTAGCTGCCCTGTGCACGCCGGAAACCTAACCATTGTCTTCCGGGCCTCAAAGTGTTTAATTCAGCAAAAATGAACAATTTGCGGAACCCACGAGAGACATGCTGTTGGGTTGATGTATGGGATCATTTGCGAAGCCGGCAGAAATGGTTAACTATGTGTAAAATTGGAAGGTGGTCTTTGTGATCGCACCGGCGTCTATCGTTGCAAAAGTATGATAAGAACGTAATCCGTGACCCCTGGGATCACAGGGCACGACCTTTGTGAGTAAGAGTCTTGCGCCGTTTATCCGGCAATTCCGGCTAACGTAATTTGCAAAAATGCTTAACTTTTCCGTTTGTGTGGACGGAAAGTTTCCGGGTGGCGCAAGTTTGGCATGTTTATGGTGGACAAGGCGAGTTTTCGCCCCCTTTTGTAGAAGCGGCGATTCCTCAACAAAATGCAGAATGGAGGAAAATGTGGGAAAAGTGCATCGATGTCTCATCTAGCTGTCAATACCAAATCCCGGGCCTGTTGTTCTGTAGACGTCAAAATTGATTTTTTCCGGGAAGATATATGACCGTTTGTCACAACGGAGTTGCCCATTTGCATTCAACTTCAGATAATGGCCTCAGTGTTCTGAAGTCGAGAAATGTCTTGTCCATCAATTTCAATTCTTTCTCTGAAAACTTTTACTCGTTGTCAACTTCTTTTTCCGTCAGAAGATCCCTGAAATAGGTTGTCTCGAAGAATTTTTAGCATTGTACAACAATTGAGTATCAAGTGGTGCACTATTTTGGGGTCACGTATGATCAAAGTGTGTTCCAAATGTTTTCTTTCAATCTCAAAACTCATTCACTGCTGTTTCAGGGCCCCCAACAATTTGTCATGATCAAGAGTGTTCTGTAAAATGTTGGAATTTTTCTGTACTGAGCAGTTTTAACTTAACGTACAATGTAATGCATTGACAGAAATGTTTGATGTCTATTTTATGATGATTGCTTTCCAGTAGGCATCATAAAATTGAGTAACTTTGAAATTTGCAAAGTGGATGTTATTGACTGCTTGTTTTCATAGTATCACATCCAGTTTTTTTATTCAGGATGCTTTTTGGCAATTTGTGGATATATACATAATGTGTAGAAACTAGCACACATGTCTTTGAAACAAAGATATACACCTTTTGGCTGAGCCAATACTTTATTCGAATCTAATGTGGAACATTGATTTTCTTTAACTTTTGTGTTTGCTGGTAATTGTGGGTGTTTTATATGTCATGTTTTCCATTTACTGCTTTCCCATGGGTATTCCACACTGCCTTTAGACACACCGGCACAGTTCAGCACTGTAGTTACCAACTCACTTTACACAAGCGAACAAGGTCCTGTCAAGAACTCTCTCGTCAATTCGTCAAAGGATAACCACATTAAATTCCTGCCACACCTAGAGGGGGCTGTCTGCAGCGTCTTTTACAAAGCGTCACTTTGAAAGTGTTGAAATTTTGCAAATTGCACTTAAGTGTTTTAAGGGACACGAGGGAATACACAAATAAATGGTGGCTATCACCACGACGGGGCCTGAAGGGGAATAGAGTTTGCGTCTCGACGAAAAAAGCGCTGTGCTTGCAAGAGGTAGGCCTTAATTGAAACAATCTTTCGTTATAAAACATGCATCATTAGAAACAAAGTGGTAGAAAAGAGCTACGGGCTGAAAACTCAAAAACCACTTCCCCGTCGTAAGTGAAGAAACACGTCTTCTTCCATACTCTTGGGAGCCTCGCCAAAAGGTTTGAAGCACTCAAGACAAAATGGATGAAAGAAAGTGTATGTTCTCCACTTCTTAACCCATTTGCTAAGACTTTAACTTAAGCAAGTACCTTGGGCTACTTTGGGAACGTCTTAAAAGACTAGGAGGACAAAAGACACGTGAAGTGGAACAAAAAAAGCTTCGAGAAAAGTTTAAGTCATTGTCCTTTGTACTTGCCACCAAACTTTGTGTACAATCGATAATTTGTTGAATAAGGACATCTTGTTAATACAGTTTTAGTACATTTTACTGAGTGATTCCAGTTGAAAGACTATGATATTGTTGCTATGAAATACATTGCAGTTTGTAGTAGCACCAATAAACTGGCTTTCAGCACCAAAGACAGGACCAGTTATAATGTCCAAGGTTTCCTTCAAAAAGCAATAGAGGAGTTGAGAAAAGACCAATAGTTAAGAAATTGTATAGAGGTTTGTATTGTACATGTAGATCAGTTTTCTCAGTTATCTAGGAGACGGTACTACAACTGTACATGATACAAAGGTTTCTTTATGGCTTGCAGTGTGCTGACATGACTTTTTGTCCGTCTGATGCCAGCATACAGTTTATTGTGCAAAATGTTTACTCAAAAAGTAACCACTTCAAGAACCACCTGACACATTGTAATTTTTAGTGGCCTGTATAGAGATTTCTTTTTTGATAGTTTTATTTTAAAACCAGTATCATTGCACACTAAGAAACATTTGGGATCATTTTGGAAATAGTCAAACCTACATGTATACCAGTGACCAGCTCAACAGAAGGACCACCTGGACATTGTAGTCAGTTTTTAGTGGTTTTTATATACCAAATACTGAAACTCATTATCAACCCCACTCATCATCATCAATTGTAACACGATATCAAAGACAGACTTGTGCTAACCCTTGTTGTTTGAGATTTATTAGGTCTTACTCTATACTTTTTACAGGTCTTATTCTGTACTTTGTTGTTATTTGTTTTGCCATACATTGTACCATGTACAATTGTTGTGCAATAAAGTTCTCTCAATTATTTTCCCCATTGATCTAAGCATTTAGAATCCTCAGTGGCCACCTGTCTTCTGTTGACCACTTACTACCAGTCCCTTGAGTGGTGACTATAGACAGTTTTTGACTGTAGCAAGCACCACAGAATCGTCTGTCCAGACACTGCCATCAAAAAAACGCTGGATGCTCAATATTGTCGCTAACTCAAGGTCAATTAATGCACTTGTCTGTGATGTTGAAGTCCGAAGCGATTACTTTAATCCCAGTAATTTGCGAATCACTGAGTCATCGTTTCGCCCTCTGACACGGGGGAGCAATACTTGTCAGGTTTGGAGGGCAAGGGAATACGTTTTTGCGGCAAGGACGCTTTTTTTTATGTTTACCGAAGGAAAACATATTGTTTTTACTCAGTTTCTTCCTCCTCTTCTGTTCCAAACACTACCCTCTGACCTGACCAATGACATGATTTGTTGACGTCTCTCACCATGGTGACTGGTGTTGGGTTAGATAATGTTGCAATTTCATGGTCTGCTCTATTCCTGTCACCATATACTCGTAGTGCATGTATGTGAATGTGTTTGAGTAAAAATTAACAGAGCAGACCATGACCGAAGGTAAACATTATGCATTTGCTTTGCAAATGTTACTTCTCTAGTTTCCTTTGTGTTTGAGTCTTGTGGGGCTTATTTGACAGAAACATTTAGGGAAGTTTGTTTGTGGCACACATGTGTTGTGTTTGATGTTGCTAGCAGCGTTTTAAAGTGGTCACTAAACCTGTGAGTTCTTTGAAGTGTTTTATAGGATAGATAGATGTAGATGGTGTGGTGGGGAGGGGGGTGAGTTCTTGAGTTTTTTTTGGTAGCCTGTGTGCTGTCCTCTACAGTTATCACCAGCTCCATATTGTCGCTAACTACCATGGACTACCCAGGCCTAGAGCCAGGCCATATCCTTGTAGTAGGACGTGATTTTTTTTTTTTTTTGAGCACAGGCGAAAATCAATGCGCGCGTGGATGTCATCCATAAAATTAAGATGATGTGGCCTAATACAAAAAAAGATAGTACAGGCTGTTGATTTGTGCCATATCTTCATTGTCATAATAAGTGCCTACTTAAGTGGTTAGTGTCCCTGCCTTTGGACCAAGAAGTTGTGAGTTCAAATCCCAGCTGTTGTTGCTCACCCAACATGCACACTATTGGCAAGGGTCACAGTCCTTTGGATGAAACGTTAAGCTGTGGTCCATTGCTAATTTCACTGGTTTAAAAGAGCTAGGAAAATTTCCCTTGTACAATAAACTTGCCAATACTGTACACAGTGTCTTCTTTGTTAAGACCAGTGGAATAGACTAGCTCAACTTGTTTGAAATCACTTTCTTTCTTAGGCCACACCAATTTAATTTGTTGGTTCTCAGATTTTTTCAGAAAAAATATGAAGCGACAGGGCGAAAAAAAACAACAGGTCTAGGCATCCTATTATAGCCCCAAATGCTACAATATGAGCCATGAAGTCAACAAAAAAGGCTGGGTTAAAATTTAAAGTATAAATTTTGAACTTTTAATCAAACCACTGCATTGATAGATGGAAAAACTGTAACAACTAGGAAGAAAAGGAATTTCCTCAACTGTTGGGGGCAAAATATGAGCATTTTTTA